TCTAATTTCCTTTGCTACCCATTTTTCTGAGAAAATAGAGACAGAATATAGATGTCTTAAAATGAAGCTAAAATTACATGGTTTGGGGTAAAAGGGGCATGAAATGTTCTCTTTTCCCATAAGAATCTAGATTGTCCTAAGTGGGAGGCGGCTTCGCCATAAACTGGTTACCAGCTCACCTGACGTAACACCCCTACACACACGTTATCTGAAGTGGGCTTGTCACTTACACCTGGGCAGCAGGGACAGCAGAAGCCTAGGGTTCATGGGGAGACAGCCCCCCAAGGCTCAGGAGAGTGTTAGGCAGGGACCAAATCTGCAGGTGGCGGGTACAGCCAGGAGGGTGGTTCCCAGGAGTGAAGCCAGGGACCAATGAGGGGAAGGGACTGTGGGAAAACATAGAACACCTATCAGTCATGTATACCAATCATGTGGTAACATCCCACACCCCTGTAAGCCCTCTTCTGGACCAGGCCAATAAAAGGGAACCACCTGGGAGAACTTAACCTCTTTCTCCACTCATGGAGATTGACCCCTTCCTCTCTCTGGACCTTCTTTTCACTTTGTATAGTTCCCATCTTTTCTGCAATAAAAGCTCTTTGTATGGAATTGCTTCCTGTCTGTGGTCACTCTGTCACACCAGCCTGCTTGTGATTCCTCAAAGCAAGGAGCCAAAGAACCAGGACAACAGTCCACCAAGAGGCCAGACCGGACAAGAGCAGCCCTGGGCAAATGGAGACTCATCTGCACACACCCCACCCGCACCACTGAAGAGAGCTAAGGAAGCAGCAGCCCACTCTGGGTTTTCTACCCCAGGGCAATAGGACACACTGGGCTAAAGCTGTGAAGAACATCCTGTTTCAGGAGTCAGGCCTGGGAGACTGGAACAGAGGCTAGGCTCTTCTGGCCGGTTCCCCACTATCCCAGGATGTTGTATTCCCAACATCCTACAGTTATTCTTGAGAACTACAAGCAAGAAAGAGGGGAAAACTGGGTCAGTGCAAGGCCACCTGAAAACTGTCCTACGCTATGCTCATGCATTATGACTTGTCCGGAGAAGGTGCCTGTGTGTGTGTGTGTGCATGTATGTTCACATGCAGTACACACCGGACGTCAGGAGTGCAGACTCCAAAATCATGCTCTTCACCTCATATTGGAGAGGAACCTGGCAAAAGTTTGGACTTCCTAAAAATCGAGTGGGATAAGGGCTTGAGCCATTCTGGGTTGGGCACTAAAATTTCATGACACATTCTATCTAATGGGGTTATATGCAATCTTAAAGAAAGAATGAGACAGCCTGAAGTATTTTGTTTAGTGTGAAAAGTAAAGATCAAAGAGTTGTGTGTAGTAAGTCAATAAGTGTGTAAAAACCTAAAAAGAGTGAGCTAGAATATCTCTAAAAGGATATGCAAGAAAATGGTGACAATGACTGGCTTCTATGGGATCTGGGGAACTCGGGGGGAGGAGGATGGAGATTTATTTTTCAACCACATGCTTTTGTACTTTTCTTTTTTTTTTCTGAGACAGGGTCTCAGTCTGTTGCCTGGGCCAGAGTGTAGTGGTGTCATCATAGCTCACAGAAACCTCAGACTCCTGGGCTCCAGCCATCCTCCTTCCTCAGCCTCCCAAGTAGCTGGGACTACAGGCATGCGCCACCACACCCAGCTAATTTTTCTATTTTTTATAGAGATGAGGCTGTGCTCTTGCTCAGGCTGGTCTCAAACTCCTGGCCTCAAGCAATCCTCCTGCCTCAGCCTCCCAAAGCACTAGGATTACAGGCATAAGGTACCACAATTGGCTTTTTGTACTTTCTGATTGTTTAAAAAGCATATACACATAGAGCTATTTTAAAACACACTTTAAAAAATTAATATGACCTCATTTTGTAGTCATAAACTGGTGAGGCCTAGAATTATTACTTCCTAAGTTTAGTGTATAGTTTTATCAGTACCCACCTCCCACTCACTCCCGCACTGAAGGCAGCAATGCCCATTCCTCCCACACACACCTAAACAAATAAAGGCAAATTCATTTGTGGAACTGTCAGCTAAAGATCCTGAAAGAAGGTGAAGACATTGTGACTCTGTGCTGGAACCAGGCAGAGGGGAAAGGCTAGAAGGGATTCGACGGATTCTGGGAGTGGTAGCCTATAGATCTCCCTCCCTCCCTCGCTCCCCGCCCTTCCTTCCTTTCCTCTTTCCTTCCTTCCTTTGTTCTTTCCTTCCTCCTTCCTTGTGAAGGCTCCTTCTCTCTCTCTCTTTCTCTCTCTCTGCATTTAGTGGGTACCATAATTTGTCCGGCACTGTTCTAGGTATTGAGCACACAGCAGGGAACACCGAGCAAAGAGAATTTTAGACATCAGTTCCTTGGTCGCTTGCTTGCCTCCTGTGTGCTTAGATCCTAGGCAAATAAAACCATCTGAATCCACTTTAAAATGGGTGACTAGGACCCCTTCTCTGAACCAGTGAGGTGGGGAACCACCAGCACATCCTACGATGTCTTCCCTTAACAAATATTTATTGAGCACTGGCTGTGTGGCAAGTCTGTGCTAGGTGCTAGGTGCTAGGTGAGCTCCGTGAGCAAAACAGACTAGGATTCTGTCCTCCTGAGGCTGACGTTGTCCTCGGGGGAGAAGACAGTATACGTTGAATATAAATTGTGGTTCCCTCAGTGTCTCTTACTAGAAGGGTCTCATCCTCACCTTCTAAAACATGCAATCTCACCTTGCAGAAGGACCTTACTTCCTTGGGCCCCTCCAGCAGTGTTCGCCAGGCTCCTGGACTCTCTAAGCCTCGATTTCTTCGTTGGTGACATGGAGATGGCTACGGTGATGATTCCCAGAAGACGAGAGGTTCCAGCACGTGTGCAATCACATGAGGAGGCTGTTGGAACTTCAGAGTCCTGCGCCCCATCCCAAAGGTTCTCATTCGGTGTGTCTGGGGTGGGCTCAGCAATCTGTCCCCAGTCCCATGGATGATTCTGAGGCTCTGGAAGGGAGCGCTCTGACCCCACTTGGAGAGCGCCGTACCCAATGTTGACGTGAAAGGGAAGGTGCTCTCTCAATGGCAGCTTTATTCCTCTCAAGCACAAGGGCAGCCTGGGTTGGCTACCTCTGGCCATGGCGTAGGTGGCCATGAAAATAGCCCTCAGATGTCCTGCGCAGGGAACATGATTGATCAATGGCTGCAGCCGCTGCCTTCTGAATCTGCCTGCCTCTGTGCTGAGGCTGAGCCCAGCTAGTGACTGAGCAGGGTGTGGTGCGTATGCAGGCCCATTCCCACAAGATACGGAACTGCTTTAATAGGAGACTTCAGCCTGAGGGCTCCCCCTTGGCCTGGCCAGAGTATTCTAGAAACTGTGCTGCTGTCCAAGACTCTTCCTATGGGATCCTCTCTTTCCTTCCCACTCTCCTTCACAGGTGTCAGACCTGCCTGCTCCAGTGCCCCTCATTCTTCACAGCTGTAAGCCCAAGAAATCTCTTGCATATCTAGTTCCACGTTGGCATTTTCTTCTCCAAGGACCTAAACTTTAATAATATACCTGGCTTGGTTTCTGACATCAGAAGGGCCTTCAGCAGTGACCTCTGCTGTGCCCTTCTTATTGCCATACTCCTTCCGGGTGGCAGCAGCGCTGCAGCAGTAGGATCGCGGGCACAAGGGGAAGCAAGGGCCGGCCCCTCCAAAGTCGTTTTACCCTTGTCTTCAGCCTCGTTGCCATGGCCCAGCGCCTCCTCGGGGTTGTTGCTGTAGAGTGTAGTGGTTCAGGGCATGGATTCTGGGAGCTAGTCCTACTTTCCATCCCAGCTCTGCAGCCCTTGCGCAAACTATTTAACCTCTCTAATGCCCTAACAGCTGCGTAAAACAGGCATGTAGATAGTATTCACCTCACAGTAACTGTTCAGAAAGGACAATCCTGGCCCTGCTGGATCACAGCAGGGTGTTTAGATTTAGGGAGCGCCAGGCAAGTGCTCTGCCCTATGCCTGGCCCCTGGCATGCCTCGAAACAGCTCCATGTGGTTTCTGCCACTCCTTTGGATGAAGAGGCCACATGGGACCCTGGAACCCCCCTTGTTCCAGGCTCAGCTCTGCCACTTCCACCATCAGGGCTCATTTTCTTTTTCTACTATTCAGTCTCTTCATTTGTGAATTCAGGAAGTTGAACATCTATTCTTTTTTTTTTGAGACACAGTTTCCCTCTGTCACCCAGCTAGAGTGCAGTGACATCATCATAGCTCACTGCAACCTCAAACTCAGGTCCCACATACCTGGGACTACAGGCATGTGCCACCACGCCGGGCTAATTTTTTTATTTTTTGTAGAGACAGGATCTCGCTCTTGCTCAGGCTGGTCTCAAACTCCTGGACTCAAGTGATTCTCCCGCCTTGGCCTCCCAAAGTGCTAGGATCATAGGCGTGAGCCACGGTGCCTGGTTTGAACATCTGTTCTTAGAGGCTGGGCTTTACTTCTAGTCCCAAGATTCTGTGAAAGTGTAATATCGTCCAGAGCAAACTCCATCTTTCTCCATTCTGTGCATTAAATGTATATGTACCATGTATTGTTGGCTCAGCTCGGTGGCCGGCACTGGGGCTTCAAAAACGTAGAGAAGGTCTTTGCTCTCAAGTCACTCAGAATCTTCCTAGGAAGACAAACAAGTTCACAGTTCCAATACAATGAGGGCTTTGTGGCCACCTGGAGATGAAAGACTGCTGCCTTGGTTATCACTAACATTTTATAAGGGGAAATGGGAGAGGTACAGGAAAGTTTCCTGATCATGTTTGGCTCTGAGAGGAAGGACAGTGTGTTTCAATGCTCCCTGGTTAAAATAAAAAAAAAAAAAAAAAGAGAAAGGAAAAAGGAAAGTGTATTTATTTTCATTGAGAAGAAGAAACTGAAAACTCTGGAGTTTGAATAAACAGGAAGACTTTATTTTTCTTTTACAGGTCATGAGGCCAGTTAATGATTAGTGAGACCCGAGTGGACGTTTGGTGAGAGGTCCGGCTGTGGGTCTCCTCAGCCTAAGGCGTTAGGACTTCCCGCTCAGCAATGCCCCCAGGCCCTTGGGGGAGACGCTTCTGCTTGTGGGGGCTCTTTCTGTGGCTCCGCGGCAGCGTTGGAAGCTCAGGTAAGGGGGACGCTCAGGCCTGGGGTGGGACTTACATCAGTCAATGATCCTATTTCTCAAACTACTTATGGAGGGCTAACTGCTGGAACGTCCCCTAAAAGCCCTTTGCCTCTCCTGAGGTGAATTTAAAACAGGGGAAAAACCCTACTATCATAAGAGGAATGATGGTAAACAGGACACTTTCTCAGGTCACAGAAATTTAACTTCTCCTCGTTGTTTGACTCATTTTTCTAAAAGCCATATTACAATCATTTTTGCCTCACACAAGCCGGGGTGACTCTAAGAAAATAAAATTTGATTAATTCCAAAATATTCATTTTCACCCTATATATATCCACTGTTCCAAGATATAGTTAATGTTAAAATTTGAATTTTCCAAACTAATAATGATTTTGTTTGTCATTGAGATTGTTAGATGTCCTTTTCTTTTTTTCTCATTTCTTTTTCTTTTCTTTTCTTTTTTTCTTTTTTCTTTTATTTAAGGCTGGTCAAGTGAAGCAGTGGGAGTGGAGAAGGAACAAAGGAATCTGTAACTGGTTGTGATCAGTTAGTTGTAAACACCACTGCTCTTGGACCAACCTAGATGTCCTTTTTAATCCTGTGACCCAACTCAAGTTCAGGCTTGTCCTCCGTCTTAGCTGACGACTAGTGCCTGCTAACCACAGATGCCCGTTAGCATGACTTCCCTCAGATGCCATTTGCATTGTATCTTTCCCCTGGTAAAGAATCAGAAGACACGGGTTCTCGGAAGACTCTCCCCTCCCCCGAGCAGTGGCCCCATTCTCAGAAAGGTCCCCTCCCTCGGCACCCAACAGCAGATCTTCCCCATAAGACGTTTAATTCTCATTCCCCAGCTCTAGAATATGCTATGCTTCTGCCTGGAGTTGCTCGCACTCCCTTTGGGTTAATTTCTGTTCTTCACGTCTTCCAAGGGGGCTTCCATGACCGTATCTTCCTTGCAACTCATCATTCCTCTGTTCACACCCCTCCCTGCTCCAAAGTTCAACTTGCATGAGTGTGTACACTCCCTGCATCCGTGGGTGGCTTTTTATTTTTGACATTAAAAAGAGAAACGAAACATTTATTTAAAAATAGTTTTAGATTTATAGAACAATTGGACATACACCACAGTGAGCTTTCATATAGTCCATACACATTGCCCCTTATTAACTGCTTACGTTACATGGGTGGCTTTTTAAAGGTGCTGCTCAGCTTCACGTGTGGTCTCTCCTTCTGTAATCATTTGTCCCTGCCCTAGTGCCTAACACCTCTAGCAGGGGGTAACCATAACAGAGAGAAACTATTCTAGAACCAGGGAAGCCCGTCTGCCCAGTTCTTTCCCAGGGAATTATGGTGCCCACTTCCTAGAATACTCTCTTTCTCTTTAACACCTTTCATTTCTTTTGACAAAACAGTATTCTAGGAGGGGCACAGTAGCTAATGCCTATAATCCTAGCACTCTGTCCTTGGTGATCTTAGTCTGATTGAGCTAGCCCATAATATTTAGAAGAAAATACGAGAGAGTATCTTATGGGAAAATTGCTTAAACGAGACACCAGAAGCACACATCATAAGATAAAAGATTGATAAATTTCATTCTATAAGCTTTTGTATAAAAACACAAGCAAAAAATAAAAATAAAAAAAGTCATAGGCTAAAAAAAGTCTTTTTGCAATACATATTATAAACAAAGGATTTGTGTCAAGAATATATAAAAAACCTGACACAAATCAATGAGATAAAATGAGCAGGTCAGTAGAAGAGTGAACAAACTACATGAACAAGTTTCATAGAAAAGGAAATCACAATATATGAAAAGAAGTTCAACTCTACTAATTAGCACTAAAGGGCAAGTTAAAATGACAAAGAGGTAGTATTTCATTCCCATCAGATTGGCAAAAATTAAAAAAATCTGACAACACTAAATACCAGTGAGAGGGGAAACAGGATCCTGTGTCTTTCTGGTGGGGATATAAATTGTATCGACTGCTTTGGAGAGCAATTTGGCTATACTGGTAAACTGCCTTGGGACCCAGTGATTCCATTTTCAGAAACCACCTTAAACTTTTCACGTTGTAGTGGGGTGGGGAACCTCCAACCTCAAGGGGACATGGGGCTCTCTAGATCCCCAAGTACAGCCCCTCCACCAAATCCAAACTTCCCTTTATTAAGAGGATCTGTGCTGTAAAACTTGGATTCAGTCAAAGGCCACAGTCAAAGATCCAGAAGGCCACGTGTAGTCCGAAGGCAGCAGGGGACTATATTGTCATATTATTTACTGAACATTCTTATATCTTAAAATTATTTCATAATTTTTTTAAAATTCACCCATAAAAGAGCAAAAAAAAAAAAAGGAATGAAATACATTAAAATGTTAAAATATATTTGTGTCTGGATGGTGGGCTACAGACAATATTTATTTTCTTCCATCTGCTTTTATGTATTGTCTAAACTTTCTGTGATAAGTCTCTGTTACTGTTTTTAAAAATTCAGAACGGTACAAAGAAGAAAGGGGTGCTGGTGCTGGAGACAGTTCACAGTCTCTCTACCTGGATAACCCCTGCTGATCCCTAAAAAGTAAGGTTAGAAATCTTACACTTACCTGTCCATACTTCTTCTACCCAAAGGTAAATTCTCCTTACATTTTCTTGGATTCTTTTCAGGAAAAAAGTGTATACATAAACAGACACAGATGGCATATACTTATATGTCCCTTTGTATTGCTTTTGTAGTAGAAAATACCTAGAATTTAGCCAGAGAGAAAAGAATTTTATTTTGCAAGTTTAAAAACACTGGGGCTTGAAGATTGTGCCAATTTAAACAGGAATACAAATCAGATAGCACATATGACTCTTTGGAGAGAAGGAAAGTGGTGAAAGGGAGGAAAGGCCTTAGAACCGCTTCTAGGACACTTGTTTTTTCTTTTTTTTGAGACAGGGTCTTGCTCTGTTGCCCCAACAAGAGTGCCTCAGCCTGCTGAGTAGGTAGGACTACAGTCATGCCACAATGCCTGGCTAATTTTTCTATGTTTTGTAGGGATGGGGTGGGGGCGGGGGGGGATTTCTTGCTCTTGCTCAGGCTGGTCTTGGACTCCTGACCTCAAGTGATCTTCCTGCCTGGCCTCCCAGAGTGCTAGGATTACAGGCGTGAGCCACCGCACTCAGCTGTTTATCATTTTCTTTCTGGTATTGCCCTTGTCTGGTTTTTTGTTTTTTGACAGAGTCTTGCTTTTGTTGCCCAGGCTAGAGTGAGTGCCGTGGTGTCAGCCTAGCTCACAGCAACCTCAAACTCCTGGGCTCAAGCGATCCTCCTGCCTCAGCCTCCTGAGTAGCTGGGACTACAGGCATGCGCCACCATGCCCGGCTAATTTTTTTCTGTATATTTTTAGTTGTCCGATTAATTTCTTTCTATTTTTGGTAGAGACAGGGTCTTGCTCTTGCTCAGGCTGGTCTCGAACTCCTGAGGTCAAACTCAAACAATCCGCCCGCCTCGGCCTCCCAGAGTGCTAGGATTACAGCATGAGCCACCGCACCCGGCCCTTGTCTGGTTTTGATACTGGGTTGTTATAGCCTCATAAAATAAGTTTCTATTCTATGAAACAGCTTATATCATGTAGAGGTTATTTGTACTTTAAAGATTTGGTAGAGTTTTCATATAAAACTGTCTGTCTCCAGTATATTTGATGGCTAGAGAAAACTCTTGGTTGCCAATTCAATTTTCTGATTTTATGAGGTTTATGTGGGTTTTCTAGTTCCTCTTGAGTCAGTTCCAGTAAATTATATTTTTCTGGAAAAGTATCCATTTGTTTTAAGTTTTTCAATGTATTTGGGAATTATTAAAAATATGTTTTAATCCTTGATGTTCTGCAGTTATTCTTTGGTCTGCCTAGTATAGCTTTGTTTATTTATTTATTTATTTTTATTTTACTCATTACCCTGAGAACAATTTTTGATTGGAGCACTCATGCTTTTTTTAAGTTACAGAAAATTCTTAGCAATTAACTTTTCAAATACTGCTTTTTCTCCCATTCTCTTCCTTTAGAGCAGTGATCCCCAACCTTTTTGGCACCAGGGACTGGTTTCATGGAAGACAATTTTTCCATGGACCAGGGAGTCGTAGGGGGATGGTTTCAGGATGATTCAAGCGCATTATATTACTGTACACTTTATTTCTATTATTATTACATTGTCACTTGCTGCTCACTGATAGGGTTTTGATATGAGTATGCAATTGATTTATTATGGTCTCTGTGCAAACCTCTCTGCTAATGATCATCTGTACTTGCAGCTGCTCCCCAGCACCTTCATTGCTGCCTCAGTTCCACCTCAAATCATCAGGCAGTAGATTCTTATAAATAGCTGCAACCTAGATCCCTGGAATGCGCAGCTCCCGGTAGGGTTTGCGCTCCTGTGAGAATCTAATGCCGCCACTGATCTGACAGGAGGCGGAGCTCCAGCAGCGATGCCAGTGATGGGGAGCGGCTGTAAATACAGATGAAGCTTTGCTGGCTTGCCTGCTGCTCACCTCCTGCTGTGCAGCCCCATTCCTAACAGGCCAGGGGACTGGTACTAAGTAAACTTTTTATTTATTTATTTTTAATTAATTTTTTTTTTTTGAGACAGAGTCTCACTCCGTTGCCCTGCGTAGAGTGCCGTAGTGTCATCACAGCTCACTGCAACCTCAAACTCCTGGGCTCAAGGGACCCTCCTGCCTTGGCCTCCTGAGTAGCTGGGACTACAGGCACGTGCCACCATGCCTGGCTAATTTTTTCTATTTTTGGTAGAGATGGGGTCAGACTCTCGCTCAGGCTGGTCTCAAACTCCTGACCTCAAGTGATCCTCCTGTCTTGGCCTCCCAGAGTGCTAGGATTACAGGCATGAGCCATCACACCTAGCCTCTAAGTAAACTTTTTATTAAAGTACAACATATATACAGAAAAGTTCACAAATTCCTACTACACAGATTAATAAATTTTTAGAGTGAATTCACCTCTGTAACCA